TAAAAATGTGCACATCAATCAGAAAATGTAGGTCTCAAAGCAAAGAGTATTATCAGAGATAAATAAGGAATTTTCATAGTAGTGAAGATGTTGATTTACCAGGCAGACATAATAATGATGGATGTGCGTTCAGCCAATGAACAAGTTTCAAAATACGTGGCAAAATTAATAGAGAAGACAAATCTTTGTCACTGAAAGTTTAATGTTATTAACCTTTAGTGGATGAAATATCTAGATAAATGTTTAGCAAAGATGTACATGATTTTCCAATATTCACAGAATGCTACACTGTATTTATAGCATATGTGTATTTTAAAAATATATACAGCACATGTACAAAGGCACCAGCTGCGCGCCGCCAGCCTGCGGGCCGAGAGCCGCGGGGAGAAGGCCATCACGCAGGTCAGCAAAGGCACCTGCGAGCAAGGTGGGCACCTGCGGGCGCGGCGGAGGAGTTGGCGACTTCGGTCCCTCTTCGCGGGTGGCTTTAGTTAGAGAGTTTGGCGCGCAGCAGAAAAGTGAGGCGGCGAAGACCTCGGGGACCTCGGGCGCCCACGTCCCCAAGGAGACAGCTGGCAGGGAGCCCAGACCTGTCAGTTCCTTGTCCTTCTTTCTCGGTTTTAGGGTGCAGAGAGGCGCTGGTGAGAGGGGAGAAGTTCGAAGTACAAAGTAAGGACTGTCAGAGAGTTGTCCCTCCTTTGATAGGCTAGATTGGAACATTTTTATAAAATTATCATGTTTTTTAATGCTCATTTACTGGAAATTATCAATTCCCAATCAGTAAACTCGCTAAAGCTGATCGCTTGTGGGCAAAAATAAGATACAAGTTCTTTGAAGACTTAAAAGTTGTGAACCATGTGACATTTTGTTTTTTCTTTCTTGTTCCTTGATGGGAGGGCATAATTTGTGCCCAGGATGCACTGTTCAGCGGGGAAAGCCTTTGAGATTATGATTGGTCGTCGGTTTTATTCCATACAAGTCCATGCTTGTTATAAATGAATTGGGAAAAATAGTCTGGACTTGGAAACTAAGGTTTTTTTTTTTCAGTCTAGTGCCTGAAATAACATTTTCCACTGCCTGTAGTTACAAGGGAAAGTTAGAAACCCAGTGTTGGCAGCTCCTCTCCTGGTCCCAGCCAAGGTGGAAAGGAAGGGTGGGGGAGGTTTCTGCTGAGGTGACAGAGCTGTAACTACTTTAACACAGTTCAAACTTTTTCCCAGATTTCCACACAGCAGTGGTTTCATTAAATCTTTTCCCAGAAGTCCATATACTATTAAGTTGTGTGCCATTAATTTCAAAGTTCACTGTGGAGTAATTTAGTTATTTAGTATCCTTCCCTTAAATTTAGAAAATCACAACCCAAATAATCCCTATGTATGGTTCCAACAGAAAAGGCCTTTAGGTCTCATTTGTCAGTAACATCACACAAATAAGAAATGTGCATTGTTCAAGAATTCATTGCAAATACTGAGGTTTTTGGGTAAACCTTCCGGAAGACATTTGTCTCCCAGAGTGCTTCACTGTGACTGGTATTTGCCTTATCAGAATGGTTGTCTTGGTGGATTGTTCAGAACATTAAGCCTGGTGGTCACAAAGGACCAGTCTCCATCCTGGGCCCCTCTTTAGTCTGCAGATTTCTTCAGAGTATGGAGCTGGCTTTTGTTTTTATGTCGGGGAAAATGTTTGGAAAAATGAAATAAAATTGGAAATTTTGACATGTTAGCGTTGTTTACCAACCTAAACTGAGAGGTATGGGTATAGACCTGAGAGGGATTCCAGGTCAGCGCCAGAGAGTGAGGAGACTGAAGTCTGCCCACCAGAGTACCTTTTCACAGCCGAGATGAATGCCGTGAAAATCACGTCTTACTACACTTCTCCTGATCCTTCAATGTGTTTCATCAGTTACATAAACAAGCAGGACAGAAAACCCATTTACATCTGTACCATTTTACTGCTGCGGCTTTGGGAAATGTATTTTCTGGCTTCCTTCAGTCACTTCTGTTCTCCAAAGAAACTTGAATTATGCGTGGGTATAACTTGAGTACTGAGCGGGAGGAGGCATTGTAGGGCTTGGTCACAGGGGTGTTGTTCAGTCCACATTCTGTTCGGTTGGTTACATTGGACGTTGGCAGTGTGATCAAAAACTACAATGGACTTTTTTTTTTTGTACCAGAAATCCAACTCGGGTCTTGCAAGGCAGGCAGCGGAACCACTGTGCTAAATCCCGGCCCTTAATTTTTTTAATGTATTACAGTAAAAGTCACATTGCCAATAATCCCTCTCAAAAGACTCCCCTCGCTTCAGGTGCGCTTATCCCATCATTCTTGCCCCTTTTTTTTTTTTTTTTTTTTTTTTGGTCCCAGGGATAGAACTCGCGTCCTTGTACTTTCGAGGCAGGCAGTGTTCTTGCCACTTTCCGAAGCAGCTCCAGGGGTCTTCTTTCATGTCTAGTTGTGCGCTTGTAGCTGCCTTGATCAGTATCCTGAATTGATTCAAAACGTTTACCTTCCGTGGTCATTTTGACTTTGGGAAGAGTCAGAAGTCACAGGACGCCAGATCCGATGAGTAGGTGGATGAGGATCCACTGTGGTGTTTTTACGAGCTGCCTTTCCTGTGGATGGCTCATAGCAGCAACATTCACTGCATTTTCTTTATCGTACTTCATAAAGATACAAAAGAAATCTTCCACAACCGCTTTGGACAGTGGCAAGAATCATGGGATAAGTATAGTAAATGTGAGGGGGAGATTTTGAGGGAGATTAAAAGCAATATATCTTTTACTGTAATATGTGTTTATTTAAACCACACTATAGTTGTTGATCGGCTCTTGTACATTAATTGAACAGCTAGCTGCTGTCAGCACTGTACTGGGTGTTCTGGGGCAGGGAATGCAGGAAGCACATCTAGCCTTGCTGATTGAGCAGCTGTGTACAGGGCTGGGGATGCAGCTCCTTGGTGGAGTGCTTGCCCTCCATGCAAGATTTCTAGCCCCAGCTCCACAAATAAATCAGTAACAAATAAGTAACTAAATGAGGAAGTGGACCTACAAGTTGGAAAGTTCCAGAGCACTTTCTCTGGATCCCTGGAACCGCTCACCGCCTTCTGCTTTACCAAGACCAGCATTTACTTACCTGCTGGTCAGAGGTCTTATGCTTCCTGTTTCTGTACCCTGTGGTCAAAGGCAACGCGTCTGCTTAAAACTGTGCTTGAGAGAGAATGAGCTGATAATCTCAAGTCTTAGAACGGCCACAGTGAATTTAGTGCCATTAGATCTTACTGAGGTCTCTGCGATTGTGAGTAACTGGAAGAGGGCGGTGACAATTCATTGTGTTAAAAAGAAGTTGAAGTAGAGAAGCTGACATATCCGATGAAAGCTCACTGTTAGGAGTATGGTGTGTGTTCCTCTAGTGCAGTTCTGGCTTCATCTTTCATTCATGATCCTTTGTGTCTGCATTCTTTGACAATCCCATTTCAGTCACTTGGTTCCTTTGGGTGCCGTTCCTTCTCTCTCAGAATTAACTTAATTATAGAACCAGAATATCATTTTTCAGGATCTAGTATATTTAGGACCAATTTCAAACTACTTTCTGGGGTACAGGAGGGACCATCACAATATAACTGATTCTTCTTCTGCCTCTTCTGTCCAGCCTCTTTGATGGCCCAGCCATAATACCGGTCTGTCTGACCCATCCTGCCTGTCGAGCCCTCCGTGCCTTTGCAGATGCTGTGCTTCTGCCTAGAATGTCTCCCTGTCTGCACATGTGCCACCACCATACCCTCCCCTCCCTGGCATCTGTCTCCCCTGTGAACTCTTTGCTTGATCTCAGTCAAAAGGCCGAGAAGCAATCCCCTTATGAACTCTTAGCTAGCCTTTAAGGCTCTTAGCACTCTTTTTGAGAAGCACCCTGAGTTTCCTCCCACCTGGCCCATCACGATGTCCTTGCTCTCCTAGCACTGTTCAATCTCCAGTCATCATTGGTGCAGGCCAGGAAAGACAGTGAGCTCTCCAGTCTGACTCCACCCTGGGTGTGAGTCTTCCCTCTACCCCTTGCTAACTGTAACGTGCTATAACCCCTCTGCTCGTGGCTTCCTCCCTTATAAAATGGGGGTTACAATCACACCTGGCTCATAGAGTTGTCACGAAGATTAAAGGAACTAAAGATTGATGCAAGAAAGGACCTGATGAGTATTAATTGTTGTCTTTATTCATCCTGAAGTAAGAAAGTAAGCTCCCTGAGGGAGGGGAGCTTTTGTTCCTGCATCCCAGGAACCCAGAGCCGTGCCTGGCATGCAGTGGTGTTTTGAACACACGTTGATGAGTGAATGAGGGATATGTGAACTGGCCGGCACTCTTCCAGTCTCAGGGTAGGCAGCCTTGACTAAAGTAGACAGGGTCCCTCTCTCAAGGAGCTCAGCGTAAGCTTTAAACAGAAACAAGTAAACAAGTATTATCACATAGTTGTGCACACTGTGAGGAATGTAATCAGGGAGCTAGGATAGAGGCTAGAGATAAATGGGCAGTATGAGGTGAGCCTTGCCAGGATGCCAGGGAGCAAGCACCACTGCCATGTAAGAGGGCTCTTCCCCACTGGACTGTGAACATCGCAAAAGTAGGGCTGCACCTTAGAATTCCTTATAAACGCAGTGGCTGGGTAGAAGTTGGGCCCTCTATAAATATTTGTTGATTAAACAAAGGAACCCTCATAAGAAAGTGCCTTACTGTTTGTAGATGTAGGCAGTGGACCCTCCTGTCTGCTCTTCTCTCCTCACATCTTCCTGAAGTCTAGGAATTCCAGAGAATTCATCTGCCATCGACTCCTCTTCCCACCCTTAGCTGTCCTAGTCTCTGGCATTAAATGCTTACTTTCCACCCAAACCTCCACCTTTCCACCTTGCACTGCTGGCTAGAATTAGGTCCAGAAGCTGCTTCGTAACTGGAAAAAGTGTCAGTGAAGATTCTGATCATCAGAAAATCATGCCATCTTACCGATTTTAAACATTTATTTTTTGGGAAGTTCATGTGTGACGCATTTTAAAGGTTGATAGTGTATCATTTAGATGTCCCTATTCTGTTACTTTCCTTCAGTGACTCTCTGAACATCATTGAAAGTTGAAACAGAAGAGTTCCAAAATTAAACGTAATTGTTGATGATCTAGCTGAAGTTGGGGGAGAGCGAGACAGTCCAACCACAGAGATAGGCATCGAGCCCCGGGGGTGGGGGGAACCCAGGCTTGGGGTGCAGAATGAGGAGACCAAGTGAAGGAGAACAGCCGGTAGAAAGGCTCCATGTCAATAGCCGTGCCAAATGTTCTGCACTGCCTGGTGCACTTTGACCTGGCACAGCAGGGGGATGGATGCCCCGTGTCCTAACCCAGCAGGCGGGGCGGGGTGGCAACAGGATGTGGAGATCAAGCGGGGATCCGTCC